TCTCTATCCTCTGTACTGGATATTCTATTGGGACCAGACTGAGAGTAACCACAGCGAGATTACTGGATTTTCTACAATTTCATAACCTATTAACATTGCCAACATTAAAATGTGTTGGACACCTCCTTCAAAACTGCTGCTGAACACAAGATGTGACTCTGTCAGAAATGCAATGAGCATTATACCAATGTGTTTGGCCCAAGTCATTACTATATCCAGTGGGAAATTTCATTCTCAAATTAAGAAAAGACTAATACAACAGAAAATGTTTTTGTTTTCATTTTTATTTCAGATAAATAAATAAAATAGAAATCTAATAAACACAAGTAAACTTGAATTATCTTGCGTAATATATGAAATGTTGTTTTTTCCAACATGATTGATGTAAATACAAGAATCTGCAATCAAGCATGGATGGAATCTACCTCTTAAATACTTAGGCCCTAAAACATCAAAACATGGACGGAATCCTCCACTAAAACATTAAAACAATAAACGTTCAAAACAAGGACGGATTCTACCGCTAAAACATAAATAATACACTGTTTCATGTGATCTAACTAGCTAGCCAATAAAAGTACATTCAATTTTAAACCTATCATACAGGACCACAAGACACAGACAAACTGAATTTGGAATAAGAGGTAACTTGGGCTTTCTAGACAGGTTGTATCGTTCAATTTGCCTGTTATCGTTCAATTTGCCTGTTAAGTGAATTGTGGTTTTACTAGCATGTCACAGAGATCTACTATAAATAGATACAAAATCAACCATTAATAAGCATACACTCATCACAAACATACACTGGTACACATCTGATCCAACATTTATAATTACAAAATTATGTTTGATAGATTTATTTTATCTTTCATATCACAGATAGTTTCATGCCGTAACCTGGCAAGATATAAAGTTTGAGGAATATGTATTGTAGAAACACCTTGCTGAATAAAGACATAGGACGTCATGTTAATACTCAGCTAAGTGTTAGGCTGCCGGTTCTCACGTACATAAACTACACACAGTATCACTGACTCCGATGTTTGATAAGTGTCCTTGTGATTATTTAAAATATATCCAGAAATAAATCCAGGACACTATCACTGTCTGTGGTTTCAAGAATCACATAAATTAAATTGAACTTATTATATCAAGGCTATTCCAGATAAAATATATAGGTGGTGGGGTCCAAGTATTGACATTTGTATATAAATGTACGCCAGGAAAAACATATTGTGGATGGTATGCCTCCCTGTCCTTTCCCCCTCCTCCCATATACTTAATTCTGGAACAGCCCTTAGCATAACACGTCATTTAAACTCTTAATGCTCAATCGTTTTTCCTTAGGAAATCAAATCAGTTAAAGTATCAATTCCACCTTCATTTGATCTTAATCAATTTCATGAAAATTCCTTTAAGAGTTCTATACACACTTGAGGAAATGTGATACATTGTTTCACACAATATATCTCTGATCTCAACCTATGTTTTCACCTCATGTTAAAGTTTGATCTCTCCCTTGTTCCCTTTAACAGCTGAGATGAGAATTCTTGGATATTTTGAGATCACCCTCGACATAAAGAGATGTTGTTTTATCATTTCTCTGACTTATCACTTCTCTACTTAACGTCCGAGATAAGGTTATCAATGGCGTCCCAGTCAATTACACTCATAACACTGCCGGAGCTCACAGATGCAGCGTAAGCAATCCTGTTGATTTCGTCAATGTCTACGGACTCCACGTACTCGTTACTGTCCATAATCACATCATAGTAGTCGGACACGCCCTCGGACATTGGGTAGTCCATGCCAGACATTCGTGACATCGGATGGTCAACAGACTGACCAGGCATCTGGTAAGGAGTAAAACAAATTATCATATAAGTCCTCACAAAAACATAACAGACTTGATTCATGCTAGTTGCTGTTGCTATTCAGTTGAAAAATTTCTATTTGGTTCGATACTTCAGTATAACATGTAACATCTAATTCTGTTCGTAATAAACAGAGAACATGACAAAGGGATTCAGTTGAACTTTGACTGTATAAACAGTACACCACTGTAATAGCATTTCTGGAATTTACGATCACAACATGTTAGACATTCACAAATCACATAATGTTATAAACTTACTGCTGAGCTAGCATCATCCTCGTACAGCAAACGTTTGACATCATCATCCATTGACCAGTCGCTGATAACCGAGTCTCCCTCATCAGGTGCTCCCGTTCTGTACGGGTCAGCGTAGGGACGCATTCGAGGCTGTCCTCGGGCTGGTGCTATCTTCTTAACTGTAAGTAGTAAGAGGATATATGTTGTCAGTACACTGCTTCAACACAGGTGGTAATATCTGGAGCTACCATGTTTCTGTTGCTGAACTACAGCCAGACCAAAAGCACCAAAGCCACCAGATGATGACAATCTAATTTATGCATTTTCAAAAAATCGTTGTAACAAAGTTGGCTTTTAATTTAATTTATAAAGAAAAGGCTGATATCCAAACTTCAAACAACAGAAATCTGTAGCTATTCACTATTTTATCACTATTTCATCGACTACCAGAGATGTGTAGGAACACCATTATAACTACTCTATACCAGCAAACTTTCACCCAGTAAAATATTCTCTTGTCACCAGTAAAACTGGTATTAATTTTGCCCAGTATTAAGTTTGCCATTCACATATACATGTAATTACTTTAAGTGGAATGTTGTGTTCTTATAATTGCTGTCAAGATAACCTTGACCTCATTACAGATGCAAAAAAAAGTGAAGGTTAAACTGCAGCAAAAATTTCCCAGTTTAGTATGTACAAGTTGAACTTGTTCATTTTGACTTCAATAACCTGGAAAAAATCATTTTCCAAAAACTTATATTAGAAACCGCTTTGCTATGAGCAGTACGACAGCTACAAATCTTTACATGTCCAGCTGAACTGAAAAGCTTTAAGAACCAAAAACGAGCTGAAAAGAAAGGAGAGTAGATCGCAGACTTACCTGGCTTAGGCTGTAGAGACTGAAGCTGTTCCGCGTAAGTCTGTGGTCTGTGGATCGGCTTGTGTGACCTCATGAAAGTGGCTGTTTTCACCCGGCCAGTGGCAGCTAGAAAACACAGGGAACATTGTTAGAGTGTAAACAACTGTATAGCTACTCATTTTTATGTGTATTTATAATTAGAATATTAAGTTATGAATTATATCTGCAATTTAGTTATCACGATAGTATACGGAATTGATTGAGGCTGGCTATTTTCAGGTTCATTTGGGTAAATACCTATTCATACAGTGCTATAGAATTGTCTTGTTCGCAATTTTGTCGAATATCCGTACTGCTATAATCTCACAATTGTATAAAGTGTGTGATTATGTTTACCCCTGTCAACTTGTTTCATCTCTTATCCCAAAATATCAACAGGTATTAAAATTAAACTTTGCAATGCACAATTTAAAATCTAATGATGAAAGTATACATAAATATCATTTTCTAAGTGAACTCCTAAACAAAATGTAATCCTGAATGTAGCAAGCTTGAAGAGTTGTTTGACGAGCAGAAGATAACATATCAATAATTCCCAGCTTATGCATGGAAGACCAGTGGCAGCACCACTGGATCAATCCACAAATATTTGCCGATACCCAGCTCTATCAAGAGTCTGATGGTATGTAGGATTTGATACTGTGTACATTACAAACACCAGACAGACAGGCCCTTACCTCTGGGTTTGTGGGTACCCTCACTGAGTTTCTGTAGACGCTCGACGTAGCTGAGCGGCTTGTGTGGCGGCCCGGTCCTCCTCCGTGACACACTTGTGACCTGGGAACTCCTCACTGTAACACAACAGTATTACCATTAAAATGTTCAACTTATCAGCTGAAAGGTCTTATACTGGAACAACACTTTGATCATTTCTATTTGATATTTGATCATTTCTATTTGATCATTTCTGTTTGATCGTTTCTATTTGATCATTTCTATTTGATCATTTCTGTTTGATTATTTCTATTTGATCATTTCTGTTTGATCATTTCTATTTGATCATTTCTATTTTGCTCCTGGAGTACTACTATGAAACAAGTTAGTTGTTAAGTTGTATGTTTCACTGATCTGACACAACACACTACAGTAAAACCTGACAGTACAATGACCCCTGACATGCTGTAATAGATGACATTACATGACCACAGATGTCAGTTTCTCTGTCTATTATCAGGCGAAAAGATTCAGTCCCTATTGATAAACAAATATGCAAGCGTAAAATTTTAAAGGATATTTGAGGAAATACTACAGCACTTTCCTTTATATACTTAAAATACTCCATTAATCTGTACTAATAGAAAATGGTGTTTACCACTTCAGGCCTAGCGGAACTACCCAAATTCCTAAGAAAAGTTTACTTGACAAATTGACAATCGAATCCTTATATTTTTTTTGAATATGTGTCAAATGAGTGGTTCCAATAGTTGCAATGGAAACATATTTACCTGAGCCTCCTCCAGGCCTGTGGGAGCGAGGCATAATGGGCTGGGTGAAGGCTGGCGGTTTGGACTTCATCTCCTGCAGTCGTTCTGTGTAGGTCTTCACTGTCCTCGGGGAGGCAACAGGGATTCTACTGGGAGCAGGCAGCCTCTTAGAACCTACATATAAATGAAAGTTTAGTGTAATTTGAGCGTCAAAACTCATGCATTGGAATCTGTTTAGTAACTATCTGTTAATGAAACAATGTCTCAAGATTATCACCATTGCATGTATCATGTTTTATTTAATATAAAATGAAGAATATCATTCGACATTTTTGCCCGAGGTAATTAAAAATATGAAATGAAAGTAAATATTTGTTACAACATTGCAACCTTCTCATAGCTATTAAGTACATAACAGTGTAACGAATACAAAATGATTCCAAAATCTTTATCAATATTTGTAAGTATATATAATACTGTATGTCGGGGACATTTTCGCTGCAGTTTA